CTCTCTCTCTTTTCTCTAGTCTTTTTTCTCTCTCTCTTTTTCTAGTCTTTTTCTCTCTCTCTCTTTTTCTCTAGTCTTTTTTCTCTCTCTCTCTTTTCTCTAGTCTTTTTTTCTCTCTCTCTCTTTTCTCTAGTCTTTTTTTCTCTCTCTCTCTTTTCTCTAGTCTTTTTTCTCTCTCTCTCTCTTTTCTCTAGTCTTTTTTTTCTCTCTCTCTCTCTTTTCTCTAGTCTTTTTTTCTCTCTCTCTTTCTCTAGTCTTTTTTTTCTCTCTCTCTTTTCTCTAGTCTTTTTCTCTCTCCTAGTCTTTTTTCTCTCTCTGTTTTCTCTAGTCTTTTTTTTCTCTCTCTTTTTCTAATCTTTTTTTTTTTTTATTTCTTTTATTTAGTCTTTTTTTTTATTTAGATTTTCTCTAGTCACGACTTTTTTGATAGTTCTTTTTCTAGTCTTTTTTCTCTTTCTTTTCTCTAGTCTTTTGACGTTCTCTCTTTTCTCTAGTCTTTTTTTTCTTCTCTCTTTTCTCAGTCTTTTTTTTCTCGATTTCTCTGGTCTTTTTTTCTCAGAATCTAAAAGTATTTTTTCTCTCTCTCTTTTCTCAAATCTTTTGTCTGATGGTTTGGAGTCAGAAGTCTTTCTCTCTCTCCTCTTTCTCTAGGGGGGTCTCTGGGGACTTTCTCTTCTTTGTCGATTTCTTCTCTTTTCTCAGTCTTTTTCATCTCTCTCTCTTTTCTCTAGTCTTTTTTTTTCTGTTTCTTTTTTCATTCTCTTTCTCCTCGTTCATTTTTTCTCTCTTTTTCAACCTCCCTCATTTTTTTCTCTCTCTCTTTCTAGTCTCTTTTTTTCTCTCTCTCTCCCTTTTCTCTAGTCTTTTTTCTCTCTCTCTCTCCCTTTTCTCTAGTCTTTTTCTCTCTCTCTCCTTTCTCTAGTCTTTGCTTTTTCTCTCTTTCTTTCTCGTTTGTCCTCCCATTTCATTTGATGTCAAAAAAAAAAAATACACTGTTCATAGAACTTATTTGGTCTTTTTCTAATCTTTTTTTTTATTTATTTTATTTAGATATTTTATTTATTTAGATTTTTCGGGTGTCACGACGTTTTTTGATAGTTGATTTGGCCAGTGAATTTAGTCTTTCAACCGGTATCTTTGACGTTCCAATTGTCGGGAAAGGACATTTGTTCACTCAGTGCCAACATTCTTTTATCGATTAAAAATGGAACTGGTTAGAATACCAGAATCTAAAAGTATTTGAAGAGTTTGCAAAGAAAACAAATCTGATGTCGTGATGGTTTGGAGTCCAGAAGTGGTGTGAACTCTGTCCAAATGGATGTGGGGGGTGGGTGGGACTGAGTGTTTAGTGTCGATTACATTTCTAAAAGCAGATCATCAACTGAATTTCGAGACATTTTTTTTTCTGTTTCATGTTTATTCATTTCTCTCTCTCGTTCCAGTTTTAACCTTTTCTCAACAAAACGAGTTTATTTTCTCCCTTTTACTGGTGCTATTTCACTCTCACTCTCTCTCTCTCTGTTGTCTGCTTTTGTCCTCATCTCCCCCTCTCTCTCTCCTTCTGATCTATGATTTTTATCTTTTGTTTCTCTGTCACTCTCTCTTTGATGTCTATTTATAATTCTTCATCTCTATTTGGTCTCTCTCTCTCTCTCTCTCTTTGGTGTGTGTGTGTGTGTCTCTCTCTCTCTCTTTTGTGTGTGTGTGTGTCGCTCTCTCTCTTGTGTGTGTGTGTGTCGCTCTCTCTCTTTGGTGTGTGTGTGTGTGTCGCTCTCTCTCTCTTTTGTGTGTGTGTGTGTGTCTCTCTCTCTCTTGTGTGTGTGTCTCTCTCTCTCTTTTTGTGTGTGTGTGTGTCTCTCTCTCTTTGTGTGTGTGTCTCTCTCTCTTTGGTGTGTGTGTGTGTGTGTTTTCTCTCTTTTTGTGTGTGTGTCTCTCTCTCTCTTTGTGTGTGTGTGTGTGTGTCTCTCTCTCTCTTTGGTGTGTGTGTGTGTGTGTGTGTCTCTCTCTCTCTCTCTTTGTGTGTGTGTGTCTCTCTCTCTTTGGTGTGTGTGTGTGTGTCTCTCTTTTGGTGTGTCTGTTTCTCTCTCTCTTTGGTGTGTGTGTCTCTCTCTCTCTTTGTGTGTGTGTGTGTGTCTCTCTCTTTGTGTGTGTGTGTCTGTGTCTCTCTCTCTTTGGTGTGTGTGTCTGTGTCTCTCTCTCTTTGGTGTGTGTGTGTCTCTCTCTCTTTGGTGTGTGTGTGTGTCTCTCTCTCTCTTTGGTGTGTGTGTGTCTCTCTCTCTCTTTGGTGTGTGTGTGTGTCTCTCTCTCTCTCTGTGTGTGTGTGTGTGTGTGTGTCTCTCTCTCTCTTTGTGTGTGTGTCTCTCTCTCTCTTTGTGTGTGTGTGTCTCTCTCTCTTTGTGTGTGTGTCTCTCTCTCTCTTTGTGTGTGTGTCTTTGTCTCTCTCTTTGTGTGTGTGTGTCTCTCTCTCTCTTTTGTGTGTGTGTCTCTCTCTTTTGTGTGTGTGTCTCTCTCTCTGTTTGTGTGTGTGTGTGTCTCTCTCTCTTTGTGTGTGTGTGTGTGTGTGCTTTCTCTCTCTCTCTCTCTTTTGTGTGTGTGTCTCTCTCTCTCTTTGTGTGCGTGTCTCTCTCTCTCTCCTTGTGTGTGTTTCTCTCTCTTTTCTCCCTCTATATCTCTTTGGTCTCTCTTTATATATCTGGTCTCTCTCTGGTGTCTCTCTCTTTCTTCCTGGTGTCTCTCTTTCTTCCTGGTGTCTCTCTTTCTTCCTGGTCTCTCTCTTTCTTCCTGGTGTCTCTCTTTCTTCCTGGTGTCTCTCTTTCTTCCTGGTGTCTCTCTTTCTTCCTGGTGTCTCTCTTTCTGGTGTGGGTGTGTGCGTCTCTCTGTCTCTCTCTTTCTTTCTCAGTCTCTTTGGTATATGTCTCACTTTCTCTCTCTTTCATTTACTTTTTCTCTCCAAAAATCTTTTCAATATTTCTTCTGAACTGCTGCAATGTTTCTCTTCATTTTCAGTCCCTTTCCCCCCCCATAATTCATTCTCCATTTCCCCATCCGACATTTTATTCGTTAGCTTTTATTTATTCATTTTTTTCTTTTTTTTTTGTTAGTTCCTTTATTTTGTATAACGATTCTTCATTTTTTTTTTCTTTTCGATTATACAGATTTTTTAAAATCTTATTTTTCTCTTTTCCTTCTTTCAACGTCGTCGTCGTCGTCTTCACTCCATTACTGATTTTCGTCTGCTGCTCTTCAGTTTCTATTTCCGGAAACTCACGAATATTACCGAATAAATAACCGCCGTCCATTTTTTGTTTTTTCTTTCTTAAATTCGATTTTTTTTTTTTAAGCAGACGTCTCATACTTTTTATTTATTCATTATATTTTGAAAACGTTTGTGTAGTGAAGAAGCGTCTCAATTGTCGACTCCATTAATAAAGAAAAAGTTTCCCCAAATCAAAATAAAACTTCTCTTGGTCAAAAAAATAAAAAGTAATGCCAAGACAGAACCAATTCAGACAATTCCCCATTCATTCAAATGAATGACATAGATGTTTCGTTAGGCGTAGAAATCAATTTTCTTGTGTGGTTATCTCCGTTTTTTAACCGAAAGTTTAACTTGGGACGTTAGACGAAAAACCGATGCCTATCGGGCACATTAACAAGCAACAAAAGCAAGCAAAAGTCTATGGATTGGTAGCATTGCATGATTTCCTTCCGGTAAAAAAAGAAAAGAACCAGAACTGATGTTGTTCACTGTTTATAAAATTTTGTATCAAATTAATCGACATGAGCTTTGTTCCATATTAAATCTATGTACTGTCATGTTTCATATATATATATATATATATATATATATATATATATATATATAAACCCTCTGTTTCACGCTTTTGCGATCATCAGACAAACTTTTGTCCGATGATCCTAAAAGCGTGAAACTGAGGGTTACAAACTTATATTCATAAGCCTGAATATGTTAGCTCTATCATTGATATTGAGCGCTTTCCAATAAGTACCGCACACACACATATATATATATATATATATATATATATATATATATATATATATATATATATATATAAAATATTGTGAGAGAATGAAAATTAAATAATAGATTAAATAAGTAATAAACATATAAAAATAATAATTTAATTTTCCCATAATGCAAATCGAAACCAAAAAATGGGATTTCTGTTCGCGTGCAAAGTTTGTGACCTCACCTCCGAAAAGGAGATCGTCTTTCTTTTGATACTTTCGAAGCATTGGATTTGGACGTGTTTTACAGCGGTCCCAACGAAAGGAGATTCGGTCACCATCTCTCAACGTCATGTTGACCTACGGTCGACCACTCTCTTACCTCCGAGTTTAGTATACAAACGGGCGTCAATAACAATTGAGGCATAATTTTTCAAAAGAGTTTTGTGTTTATTGTGGTCCAACAACAATACCATCTTCTGACACCGGACAGAAAAACAAATACTAACACACTACTATTATATATATATATATATATATATATATATATATATATATATAATCACCGGCGTGAATAGAAACATACACAATAATATTAATATTTTTTTATAAAAATCAAAGTGAACGAAAATTATAAACAGGATGAATGCAGAATTAAGAACATTATAAAAATAATGCATAACACCAGTTGACAATAGAAAAAAAATTAGATTAATTATTACAAAAAATTTAAAAACTATAACCTTATAGTTAAAAGTAAGAATTCACCACCTAGAACAATATTAAATAGGGCAAATATTATTTACTAATTTAAATGCCAATTAAGGAATTGTATTCCTGGTCAATCAAAATTCGTAAATAATTATATAGGCCACACTACAACAAGTTTAACACGCAGACTCGCTCTACACCTTTCTGGGCATAGGTCAATTAGTTCTCATTTAAATATTCATGGAGACCTAGCAGACACTATTCGTAACATACTTGTTGACAACACTAATCTAATAACATCATCTACATGCAAAAAA